TGATAACTCTATCCGTCTATGGGATGTAAAGACAGGATAAGAAATTAAATCCTCTGATAAAAACTACAAAGATATTCTTGCATAATTAAAAATTCCGCTCTAATAAAATAGTGCAATATAAGAAGGTAATATTAATTTTTTTTGATATTTTAGCATCCAATTACATCACTACACTCCTTATATCTTAATAGGCTATATTTTAAGCATAAGGAGCACTAATTTTGAGAGGAGAGTTTATCAATTAATCAGGAATTGATTTAAAGACATTGTTTAAACAAAAAGGAAGTTGCTTTTTGGAAGACCTTAAGTAAAAGTGATATTTGTTATTCATAAAGAACATTACAACAATTATTATTTTAATTCATTCTTCATATTTTTTAATTATATCTTTTTTTGGCTATATTCTTAATTTTGATTTATTAAGATTCATACATATTTTGCAAAAGTATTCCATTTTAAGGAAATGTAGGGTATATTTATTAAGTCTCCTTAAAAAAAACTGATATTAATTAACATATATAGAGATTTAATGTTAAATGATACTACATTAAATTAATAATCCAAACAAAAAACAATAAGCTAAATGAAGAGATTAAAATAAATATTGATTTTAATTACTTAATTTAAACCTAGCTAAACAAAAAACTGCATGATTATTTCATAAGATATTCTGATAATTTATTTAATTTATACTATTTATTAACATAAGTTTTTATAGATATAATTAATAATTTTGTAAAATTAATTTATAAATAGTAAAAGATATATTTAATAACAAAGATAATAATAAAAAAGATATGACAAGAATTAAAAAAATAAAGTTAATCTTAGAATATAATCTAAACTATATAACAAATTTAATATTGATTAATTTTAGCATTATTCTCTATTCAAGATAATGTCTAAATCACCTGTTAATTGATAAGATATTAAAAAACTTTAAAAAAAAATATATTAATCATGAAAAAGTAGTATATATTTGAATATTATTAAGATTTAAGGAGATAATTATATCTTCTCTAACCATTTTATATATGAATCTTAATTATTGATTAACTTGAGCACAAC